GGACATACTCCTCTGTCTCCTCATTCTGTCTATTGTTGTGTCTGTTTCTCTGTGTTAGGAAAGTCAGCTACATCTCCCGCACTTGAAAGTAGTGGCTTTATGAAGAAGAGGTCCTGCAGCACAATGTCTCCTTTTCACCAGAAAATGGTGCATCAGGGGGTGTTTCCTATATGTGTTGCTACAGGGGTCCTACTGTTGTGGCTGAGATGTGTTTGCCTTCAGTCCAGCCTGTGATGGCTCTCTGCCTGTTGTGGGCAGTCTGGTGCCCGTGGTATTAGTCCGGGTGGTCCGGGACTGCCTTGGGCTTGAGTTGAGTCAGACCAGGTGTTCGCCAGAGATGAACTAACACCAAACTGCAGGCACTTTCCCTGTGTTGTCCCCTGAGAAGCTTTTGTTGGTGGGTGGGGCCTGCAGTCAGACCAGCTGCCTGTGCCCAGCCCACTGCTGGGGTCACAGTCAGATTGGTGTGTGGTTATCTTCCCCTCTTCCTGGAGCAGGACTCACTTTGGAGTGGTGCTAGACCCTTGGTCTGGGCTGCACGCACACTGCCAGGCTTATGGCACCGCTTTGATGGGATCTTGCCAAGAGCGATCGGAGGGGGTGGATCTGCTTCACTGTGGCCTCTTGTCTATACCGGGCTGTGAAGAGTCTGTTCTGCCAGCTTCCCAGTTGCTTTCTGGGTTATTTATGCCAATGTGGGTGCTCTCTAGGCAGCCACGTCGCTAGAGGTGAGTCCAGGGACCTCCTACTCTGCCATCTACCCAGCAGCCTCTCAGTTAGTGTTAATTCTTAACCTTTGGTAAAATTCACTAGTGAAGTCATCTTGTTTTGGGCTTTTATTGTGGGAAGTTTTTGATAACTTATTCAGTCACTTTTCTTGTTATAGATCTCTTCAGATTTTCTTTTTTCAAAAATCAGTTTTGGTAATTTGTGTCTTTCTAGGAATTTGTTCATTTATTCTAGGTGTATCTAAATTGTTTTCCCACTGTTTTCTGGCCTGCATGGTTTCTGATAGGAAATTAGCTGTTAATCTTGCTGAGAATCTGTTTTACATGATGATCTCTTCCTGCTTGCTTCTTTCAAGATATCTGATTTGCCCTTCCCTACATAGATGCATGTCTAGGTGTGGATGTCTTTGAATTTATTCCTCTTGGAGTTTGTTGAGTTTCTTGGATACATAGGTTATTTTTCATCAAATTTAGAATGCTTTTGCCCATTATTTCTTATTCTTTTTGCCCTTTTACCTCCTCTTTTTCTGGGAATCCCATTGAACTTATGCTTCACGGTGTCACATGTGTCTGAGGCTCTGTTCACTTTATTTCATTGTTTTTTTCTTTCTCTTCCTCAGACTTGATCATCTCAGTTGATTTATCTTCAAGTTCGATCATTTTTTTCCTTCTGTCCTGCTCAAATCTGCTGTTTAACCCTCTGGTGAAATGTTCATGGCCATTTCAACTCCAGAATTTCAATTCACTTCTTTTTTATAATTTCTCTTTATTTAGTGAGACATTGTTTTCATATTTTGTTTTAGTTCTTAGGTCATGATTTTCTTTAGTTCTTTGAACACATTTAAAACACTGGATTTAAAGTTTTTGTCTGGTAAATCCAGTGGGCTTTCTCAAAGACATTGCCTATTGATTTTTTTTTCCGCCTCTGTGTTGACCATGTTTTCTTGTTTCTTTGCATGTCTCTTAATTTTTTTTCTTAAAACCTGGGAAATTTTAAATGATATAATGTGGTAACTCTGGAGATCAGATTCCCCCCTCTCCCCAGGTTTGCTATTATTATTCTTTGCTGTTTGTTTTGTGACTTTTGTGAACTAATTCTGTGAAGTCTATATTCTTTGCTGTATGTGGTCACTGAAGTCTCTGCTTGGTTAGCTTAGTTAATGATTGAACCAATCATTGAACCTCAAACCAGTAAGCCTCCTAATCTTTGCTGAAGGGCAGTGTATGTGTTTTGAGATACAACTTCAACACTCAGGCAGGCACTTTGCAACTATGCCTTAGCCTTCACTTCCTGCTTGTGCAGAACCTCAAGGTTAATCAGAAGTGGGAGTTTAAACCTTCTCAGATCTTTGCTGAGTATGCACACAGCCCTGGGCATGTATAGGGCCTTCTACATTCCCAGGAATATGTGGAAATTTTTCAAAGCCTCTATGGACATCTCCTTTCCTAGGTTTCCATTTTAATCTTTTTGGTTAGTTTATTTTTTGCCTGTTACTGACCAGTTCTTGTGGCCATAATGTTATTGGTTGCCTGTAATTTTTTGACAGACACTCCTGGAGAAAAAGTTTTGTATTGTATGAGCTCCAGTTCTTGTCAAACAGACGGCCTTGCAAGTGAGATCTTCCATGGAATTACCCAGCAAGTCAAATAATAACAATTCTCTGGGAATGAGACTTTGAAAGAGCTCTATTCCCTTTCTGTTTCCTCAGGTGGCTGCTCGGCTTCTGGCTTTTACAGGCTATCTTTCAAGGCTACACTACACTAGAGAGAAGTGATTGGGACTACAACAAGTTAAAATGCCATAATGCTCTGTATTCGTACTGAGATTCAGTCATTTTTCTTGGATAAATGTCCTTGAATTGTTGCATGGCTTTGGTAAATTTCCCTAGTGTTGAAAAAGTTGATTCTGACAATTTATGTCAGTTTTTTCATTGCTTTTATGGAGGAGAGGATTTTCAGAGGTTCTTATCCCTCTCTCTTTACTGATGTCACCTCTATAGCTTAATCTTTATTTCAAATTGACATTATAGCTAAGAGTGGAATATTTAGGTCACTTCAAGGTGGTCATCATTGACAAGATTCTGGAAGTGCTAATTTAAGTTCTCATTTATATATGTTGGTTTTTATAAAAGTTACAGTTTTTACATTCTGTATTCTATTAGGTAGCTGTGATTAAACAGTTTAACTGTGGGTCCTTCATCCTAACAGGTTGGGAAAATAGTCCCAGATTTTTTTTCCTTTTTTATTCTCTCCCCAAATGGACATCAGGGAAAGGGAATTTTAACTTCTGCTATTTGTGTTAGGCCTTTGTACTACTAATTGGCATCTGGCAGTTATACGTCCTCATCTTACAAGCTATTTCTTATTAGCAGTCTGTTAGGAAATAATATGTTTTAGTTGTAGATCCTCAGTGTAATTATATTGTCTTCTGATTCACCTTGGTATCGAATAAAGGTGCTCAAATCTAGTAGAAAAAGATTGTGTAAGCTCCTTTATACCTTCTACTAATGAACTTTTGTTACTGTGGAGTCACTTCAAACTTCCTTAGCAATGAGACCTTTTTTTTTTTTAAGATTTATTTCTTTTAGAAAGAGAGAGCATGTGACTGCAAGTGGGGGTCGGGGGCAGAAGGGGAGGGAGAGGGACAAGCAGATTCCATGCTGAGCAGGGAGCCTGATATGGGGCTCGAGCCCATGACCCGACCCAGAGATCATGACTTAGCTGAAGTCAAGAATCAGCTACTCAACAGACTGAGCCACCCAGGCATACCAGCAGTGATACCTTTTTAAATAAATGAATTCTCATGTGAAATTCCAGTATGTAAAATGGGTACAAGCAGTGTTTTCTATTTCAGGTAATGACTATATATCCTTTTTGGTCCTCTCTTGCCAATTTTCTTTCCCAATGGTTCCAGAGGCACTCTTTCAGAACTGAAGAATTTCCTAGAACTCAGCCTAAAATTTATTCCAAAATTCATCTTTATATGTGGGGTAGGATGATGTGTTAACTATTTTACTTCATTTATCCTGGCAGAATTCTAAAGTATACTTGAGCAATTATGTGGAATAAGATGAAAAATACCCTCACATACATGATATTTTCCATCTATTCCTATCAATTCCAGTCCAAAGGGAAGCCAAAAACACTTAACTGTGCTTAATCAGAATCTTCTTTTTTTTGTTCTGACTTTGTGGACTGCTCAGCCTACTCGTTGCAAGAACTTAAGGAAGATGTCAGGGAAAAAAAGAGCCTGGGTTATTACTAATATAGGTTTCAGCCCTTTTTTATTCCTTAGAGACCAGGTTCCAAAAAGTTTTTGCTTGTTTTCTACTATCTCTAATACAAAGTTCATATGGGAGAAGGAAATGTATTCTACCAATTACAATGCTTAATACGTTTCTTCCCAGAAATATTATTTAACATGACAGTTTCTTCAGTGCTATTAATACTCTATATTTCAGGAATAGTAGCAGTTATACAGACTTTTCTGGGCCATGGTATGTGATATATACATATATATATGTATATGTATATGTATATCACATATATATACACAAAACATGTAGACAAAAGCTATAAATTGTATGTATGTATGTGCATGTGTGTATATATGTATGTATATACATATGTATGTGTGTATGTGTATATGTGTTTAAAAATTCTGTGGGAAATGTTCCAAGTTCCCTTTTTTAATAACAGGTTTATATAACCTGATGACTTTCATGGTTTTGGTTTTTTTGTATGTGTATGTAAGTCTTAATGTACTTTTTAAAATTTATTTTTATTTTTTTTAAGATTTTATTTATTTA